TATTTATTTATTTATTTATTTATTTATTATTATTATTATTATTATTATTATTATTATTTTGGTCTTTTTGAGACAGGGTCTCCCTGTAGCCCCAGCTGTCCTGGAACTCACTATGTAGACCAGGCTGGCCTTGAACTCACAGAGATTCACCTGCCTCTGCTTCCCAAATGCTGGAATTAAAGGCGTGAGCCACCATGCCCAGCTATTTTATTTTTTTATGTGTATGTGTGTATTGCCTGCATGTAAGTAAGTGCATCCATGTCATGCAATATCCACAGAGGACAGAAGAGGCTGTTGGATCCCCTGGAACTGGAGTTACAGACAGTTGTTAGCTGCCATGTGGGCGCTGGGATTCGAACCTGGGTCTTCTGCAAGAACAGCCAGTGTTCTTAACTGCTGAGCCATTTCTCCCACCCTTATTTGATCTTTCCAAACCCCAATTTTCCTATTTTATAAAATTAGCTTAATAATAGAACCCATTTTATTAGAAAGACAAGAAAAGACATGTAGAGATGTTAGCACATTAAGGGATAAGCAGCAAAGTTCTAATAGATTGTTGTTGATTTTACAAGGTTGTGGTGAGACCTAAATTAAGTGAAGAATGTGAAAGTGCATTGTAAATAATTTGCTATTAATGTGTAACTGCCTCACATTCTGGAAGGATTAGAGGGATGGAAGTGAACGTACTGAAAGGACAAAGTAGAGGGACGTTTAAGGATAAAGAGGGCATATTTGCCAGGCATGGTGGCACACGTCTTTAATCCCAGCACTTGGGATACAGAAGCAGACAGATCTCTGTGAGTTCAAGGCCAGCCTGAGTTCCAGCTCAGCTGGGCCTACAGGGAGACCCTGTCTCAAAAAAAAAAAAAAAAAAAAGGACATATTTGGGAACTAGAGAAATGGCTCAGCAGTTAGGAGCACTAGCTGCTCTTGCAGAGGACCCAGGTTTGAGTCTCAGCACCCACATGGTGGCTAACAACCAACCATAACTCCAGTTCCAGGAGAGTCTGATGTGCTCTTCTGACCTCTACTGGCATTGCATGACACATGGGTACAGTTACCTACATGCAAGCAATACACTCATACACACAAAATAAAAGTAATAAATACTTTTTTAAAGAAGAGAGCATATTTTAGCTGTACTTGTTAAATACCAAGTAATTGGTCTTATGACTAGATTCCAGATTCAGGGTCTTAGAAACTCAAGAACAGGGCTGGAGAGATGGCTCAGTGGTTAAGAGCACTGACTACTCTTGCAGAGGACCCAGGTTCAATTCCCAGCACCAACATGGTGGCTAACAACCATCTGTAACCCCAGTTCCAGGGGATCTGATGCCCTCTTCTGACCTTGGCAAGCATTGCATGACACAGGTGCAAATACCTACATGCAAGCAATACACCCATACACATTAAATAAAAATAAATAAAATAGCTGGGCATGGTGGCATACACCTTTAATCCCAGCACTTGGGAGGCAGAGGCAGGTGGATCTCTGTGCGTTCAAGACCAGCCTGGTCTACACAGTGAGTTTCAGGCCAGCAGGGACTACAGGGAGACCCTGTCTCAAAAAGACAAAAAAAAAAAAAAAAAAAAAAAAAAGGAACCCTAA